AACAGAGCCTGATTGGATGTCATTACACTGTTCTTTTCAGGGGCGGGGCCCTGCTTACTCCATTACAGCCAGCCCAGAGCCTTCCAGGAAACATGACCACTGTAAAAGCTTTCTGTGGCTTCTCAGAGCTTCACTGTCCACTCCAGCGCATACACAACACTATCTGCCACTGTGTGTGTGTGTGTTTGCTTATGTGTGCGTGCCTTCTGTTTGTCTGACTCACAGCGCGTGTGTTGTCTTATTAGATTGCGTGTTAAGTGTGTGTGGAGCAGGGGCCGCATGCACAGAGACACAGTATGTGTGACAGCATTGAATCAATGCAGCGTCCATGTTTTTCTGCTCTCAGAGGACTCGTTAGCGGTGCTGCTAACACTCGGTCCTGTTAGCTAAAATCCATAATTTGTTTTGATTCTTTTTTTAAAGTCGCCTCACGCTGAGCTTCAGCATCAAGCAGCAGAGGGTGAAAATGTGCACTTCACACATCATTCTGCTGTAAATTAGAGGATTTCGTTGCTGCTGTGGTGCACCAGTGGTTTGTGAAGGTCATTTAGAGGTCACTGCCCAATATCGCTCACTGGAGTTCAAACAGGGGTCAACCTGAAATAGTTTCAGCAGCGGCGTATGAACTCTCACTGAGCAAACAGCACTTAAACAAGTCTACAAGGAGCATTTAGCATGCTAGCCATGCACACAATAGCAAGTGCTAGCATGTTGACGGTATTGAGGTACGATTTGCTCACATTTAGAATGCATATAAACCACCATGATGGATTCTCAACACTTCCAATACTTCAACCACAGATTCAGAATTTGTCTGTGACAGCAGTGATGGTGTGCATCAGCTCGAGCACAGGCCGGAGACGCGGGAGTAGAAATGAGTACAGCAGAGGGACAGTTTGAGCAGTTTGGAAATGAAGTCAGAGAGCCGAGACTGAGATGGTTTGGACATGTGCAGATGAGGGATAGTGGATATGTTGGGCAAAGCATACCGACAATGGAGCTGCAGGGCAGGACAGAAAGAGGAAGACATCAGAGACGATTCAGGAGGACATGCAGGAGTTCAGAGGTCGTTAAACTGAGCAAACAGCCTGAGTTTAATCCTGGGTGTCCTGAATATCTGAGCCAAACTGTGTTCCAGTCCATCCAGATTGTAAAGCAAGCATTTTGACCTGGTGGTGATACTAAAGGAGTGCAAACAGCTGTCCCTACAGCCCTGCTGCTAGCACTCACACAAATTTTCAAACCTGGCTCTGAACACGCATCCTAAACGTGCTTTCATTCTTTAAGTGTCTTGTGAAAACACACAGAAAAATTTAACTGCTGCAAATGTATTAAACAGAACACAGCACAGACAGTGACTAACAAATCATCCGAAGCTTGAAAAGTTGCAGGAGGCAACAAAAACTTGTCTGCGGCTCACCTGTCTCTGGTTCTCTGTCTCGAGTCGCAGCCGAGCTTCGATGCAGCGCCGCGTCTCGAGGAAGGCCTGACGCTGAGCGCGGTCAGACAGGTAACTGATGAATATCCCAGCAGTGTTCATGCACATGAACAACACAGCCTGAGCTGCTATCTAGAACACACAAAAAGAGAGGATTAGGAGATTTGCTTGTTGACACATTTTGGAGTGCAAGAACCAACATTCAAAGCTTCTTTGTTTATATTTACAAATATTCTGAGGCAATTTTATGTCTTTATTAATTAGGCTGAAAAGGGGGAAACATCTGCACAATATTTTTCTCCAACTAAATATTTAATTCTAAAAATATTTATGAAAAGAAACATTTCAATTTGTAAGATCTTCATCAAGCATTTATCAAAGAGAAAAAAGAGCATCTTTTCAAATCAGAGCAAAACAAATATCAGGCAAAAATCACAACAGACTTTAAAGCAGTTTGTAACACAAAATACAAACTATCATCTTATATCGATTATCTTTGTATTCAACACAACAACGTTGAGGAAAATCTTTAGTTTTTTGCCCTATTCATCTAAAAAATAAGAGGCTCAAAAGCAAATTTAAAAAGATTGCAACGAGAAAATCTAATCCTTAATAACAACTAGAAGAACTTTATCATTAAAAGTTTTTCCTGGAGAAACTTCAATCCCAATATTAGTGAGGACGTTTCATAAACGAGACCTGTCGGCTGCCAAGTATAAATAAAGTGTATGACTGTAGAAATAAGTGACGTCATCATTGATGCGTCTCACAGTAGATCGGTTACATTTAGCAATGCAAGTTTTCAACCATCTCTGAGTTTTTCCAACATAGGAAAAACCACGTGGGACTTTTAATTACTGTGACTAAAGAAATCACTGAAAGGAAGTTGTGCACATTGGTATCTGCCATTTAATTTTTTTAATTGTAACAATAACTAGAAATATATAGACGAGAGAGAGAGAGAGAGAG